ATGATAGGGTATACAGTATAGCATGGATAAAACACCAAGTACAATGAAAAGAAAGTTCTACAAGCATTAATAGAAGATTCCAATCAAACACAACACACTACAAAAAACCTCTATAGCACCGAGTTCCTAACCAGCTACTCTAATCCTAGTTCTCCAAAGGTTCCTATCTAAAGCCATATCCTCAGTCAGGGTGAGAAGTCCTAAATCCTGTCTAATCACTTCCTTCCAATTCTTCTTAGGTCTACCCCTTCCCCTACTTCCCCCGAAAACCGTAATCCGCTCGCATCTCCGTACAGGGGCGTCAGCATCCCGCCGTCTCACATGACCAAACCATCTCAACCTCGCTTCCCGCAATTTATCTTCCACCGGCGCCATGCCTACCTGACGTCGAATAACTTCGTTCGAAATCCTATCCAACCTTTAAATTTTTTTAAATAAAAGATAGTTATTAAAGACGACCCTCATATTGATTTAGCTAAAGTTTTTTTTTATTAAAAATTACTCTGTATTAGTTAAGGAAAAATTTAAACAAACTCTTAATAACATAGGTATTCGATTAAGCTTCGAAAAATATTTCAATGACTTTGACATTGTAATTAAGTTTAACTTGACTAAAAAGAATAAGTTAATTTTGTACAAAGTACGGAATATTAAAAAGAGTAAAGATGAACCAAAAGAACGGTAGAGGAACTAAAAACAAAATATAGAAATGTTACGAGGATCAAATTGTATGTTTAAACAAGAGAAGGACTATTTGCAAAGATAATAATTTAACAAGGATGATTTTATTTAAAAAAATATGAGGTACCAAATAGTCTATAACTCCAAGAAAAATTTCTGAGAATACTCACATTACGCATTGTTGACCTTAAAAAATAAAAAAAGAATAATTCTTTGCCTTAACCAATTGCGCAATACCCCCATGATGAATCCTTTTGCATTGCAATGAAAGAAACAAAGATTTTTTAAAATCCATTTCAACTCTCTCTCTCTCTCTCTAAAAAAGAACTCTTTCAAATACTATAATATTTTCTCTAGCCAGAATCAGATCATTTCATGAGTGGAGGCAATTCAGGAATGAAGAAGAAAGTAGATTGATAATTGATATTCAATTAGTGAAGTGTGGGTGAAGCCAAATCTGACCAGGAACAAACCTTTTGAGACATACTACAAAATGGGAAAAATGAGACAAAAAAAATTGTATAAATCCAAAGGAATTTTTCTTGAACTATAACTCCTCATTTGTAAGTATTGTCCTAGGGTAACTCCAAAAATGACCTAAGGTTTCACACAGACCACACATGCCTTTATTGTTTGTGGGATTCTACTGGGTTGCTGTTGTAGCATAGACGGTGACAATAAAGTTTTGTGTGGTCTATGCGACCCTCCGGGCCAACCTTGGGTTACCATCTTGGGGTTACCCTAGCTTTATTGCATTTCTAAACCTCATAAAATTCCCTTCCTGTGTGTGACTGTGGTTTGATTTCCCAAGTTGGTCTCAGTTTACTAGACCAAGGAGGCTTGCTCAGAGAAAGAGTTTGAAGGTCAGACATCTCATAGTGTGGACAAATAAAAATGAAACATTGGGAGAACAAGAAACATGTGGGGGCAAAGAAGACATTGGTGTAGAGTAGTTACATATCTTATTTCAATGAGCTTTTTCTGGAACAGGTTGAGGTTGAACACTGTGGGTACACTTTTAGTTGTGTAAAATCACATCTCCACAGCTCGTTTGGCTCCAACCAAAGTATTCTTCAGCAGCATTGCCACTGTCAATGGGCCAACGCCACCAGGAACCGGAGTTAACCAACCGGCTACTTTGGATGCTTCTTCAAAATCAACATCACCCACCAGCCTATAACCCGACTTCTTACTCGGATCATCTACCGCATTTGTTCCTACATCGATCACAGCAGCCCCGGGTTTGATCCAGCTTCCTTTGATCTAAAACATTTTATAAAAAATGCATTAAAAAGGTTAGGGGAAACAAGAACCAATTTGTAATAAAAAGTCATGCTATAGTTACACCATGTATGACACCAAGTGGCTCTAATATAATCGTATTCATGCTTCTTTTTTGCGTGAACGGTTATACTTCTATATTTTTAGCTTTTCCAGCAGTATGCCGCATGGAATTGCAATAGGCGAGGATAAGGAAGTAAATAGATGTACTCTATTTTTTTACCATCATGGGCTGTCCAGCGGCTGCTATAACAATGTCAGCTTCACGAATGATTCTCTCTGGCTCCTCCGTACGTGAGTGAACTATAGTAACAGTTGCATCTTCCTTCAGAAGTAGCAGAGAGACTGGCAATCCAACAATGTTGCTTCGACCAACCACAACTGCCTTCTTCCCTTTTATGGCAACACCACTTCGAAACAGAAGTTCAAGGCAACCCTGGGTACAGCAGACAAGATATTAAGATAAATAAATTATTAGTTCTAACATCATGTTCCAAGATGCTCACGCGGGTACAAATGATCGTGAGGAAGGAACAGAGGATTGCGGGTACTACCTTTGGAGTGCAAGGAAGGAACAAAGGATCTCTCCCTTTCATCGCAAGCTTACCAATGTTCAGAGGATGAAATCCATCTACATCCTTTTCCAGGCTGATTTCACTTAATACTTTTTCTTCATTTATATGTTTTGGTAGTGGAAGCTGCACCAATATGCCTGTGAGAATGCATTGCATGCAGTTAGACATTATAGTACAACAACAATCTAGTATAATCCCAGCTGTGTTGGCGTCTAGGGATCAAGATGTAGGCAGTTTTACCCCTGTTTGAAGAAGAGGTTGTTTTTGTTTGATTCAAAATGCGTTGCTACATTTACTGCCCAAAACTTCATAGACAGTAAGAACTAAGAAGCAAGGTAAGTTGAATGTGCATTTTTTATTTAGTCCAGTATGTCCACAAAACTAAAACACTGTCAATGATGACTATTCTAGCTCCATTAGTAATGGACGAAAAAGTAGTGAAAGTGGACCTTAGGCTCCATTTGCTAGCTGAAATTGACTTATTAGAATTATTGGCATAATAAGAAGAATGATCTGAATAGGTAGCATGTGCCTTACTTTTTGCCTAAAATGGGTGTTACATTATCAAACACTTTTCCTAGTGGAACAGTTAACAGGTTCAACCATTTCAGCATAATAACTTTAACCAAACAGGCTTTTAACAATACCCCCTCCATCCCAACAAAAATTTAGCCAAACGTCCCAAAAAGCACTACCCAGTTTATTTCTTTTTTTAGTAACGAACATGTGGTTAACAAGATTTCTCTCTAATCTAAACAAATCCGAACCATACACTTTTCACTTTTTAACACTTTTCTTAAACTCCATGAAAGTCAAACTGGTAAAGTTTTTTGGGACGGAAAGAGTAGTAACTGATAATAAGCTCATAACTGACCAACCATGTACATTGGGATTAGCATTCAGTTCATGGACCTTTCGAATAAGTTCAGCTTCATGTACATCCTCTGGAAGGTCAATGTCAAAGGACTTAATCCCAACTTCGGCACAAGACTTTCTCTTCATAGTCACATAGCTTTGAGAATCCTTCCTATTTCCTACTATGACTACAGCCAATCCTGGCACCTGATATTAGTAAAAACTCATAAAAGACCGCTCAATCCTGGCCTCATTATGCTAATAAAAAGCAACCATTTATAGAATCAATCAACTGAAAGACGCTTTTGGTAAAGGCCTGTGTGCATGTGTAATGACTTCTTTTCAAGGAATAAGTTATTTCCTGAGCAGGAAGAGTACTTCCCAGTCAAAAAGAAGCATGCAGCAGGTAAAATGGGAAAAATGTTTTTAACAGTAATAACTACCTTTATTTTTATTTTAAAAAAACACTAACTTTATGTGTTTAAGTGAGGAAGTCCTTATACCATAAGTTATCCCAAACAGGACATGGCAATGCCAACTTCTATCTAAACATATTGCTAATGCATTCTCATTTAGTGAGTGAGATATAAGACCAACCTTGCCATACTTTGCTGACATGAGTTGTATCTCTGATGCAATCTCAGATCGAATGGTCTGCGCAATTGCCTTGCCATCTATGATGGTGGCTTTATGGTCTGATCCTGATGACATTGCTGTTGCACATAAAAGATAAATTAACTATTTTTCGATGGACCATGATACAATCACACCAGGGAAGATACCCCAAGGTTTACACCAGCAGACAGACTATGACTATCTACACGTGATTGTCTTTGGCGGTGTTAATATTATTGTTGTCTCTGGGGTTAAAATAAGTTCGTTCTATTAGAATAAGTACTCATAATACAAGTGTTGTCTATTTAAACACATGGTTAACTGGATTCCAGGCCACCAAAACATCTCATTTCAATAGATGGACTGATGTGTTTGTTAGATATTAGTGAGGATACCAATGGTGATGATCAATTGGCCTAAGTAAAAAACAAATTCATTATGCTATCTTTGGGTTTCAGTTTTACTAAAAAGGGCAAGCTAAATAAAGAATTAGTTACATTTACCTCCCTTAGATATGGTAAAAATAACTAAAAATGTTCTTCTTTTCACAGCAGCAAGTAATGACCCTGCATAGCCGCAATACTATATTGTGTTTTGCTTGAGCAATAATTTTGAAGAGAAAAAAAAGCTAACAAAAAGCAGCTTCTTTATTGTAATAGATAATATTTTTTTAAAAAAATAGAATTTAATTTAATAGAAACTACTGAAATTATAAAAATCCAACAAATACTTTAAAAAACAAATACACTGAATCACTTTATTAAAATAAAATATTTACAAAGCAAATACATATCTGAATCGTGAAAATAAGAGTTGTACAATGCAGTGGCAGATCCAGATTTGTTTTTCCACCAGGACACAATTGGTCAGCAAAAATATACTACTAGGAGTAATAAAAATGAACTAAAAATAAATAAAAAGAAAATATGTAATAAAACCGAAACAAACTTACATTTTGTAAATATTTTCTACCAGTTTTCATTTTTTGAAAATGATCAATTAATCTTCATTCCTAATATTCAAAAATACTTCTTTCTGCAATCTACTTTCTTTCATCCTAAATCATGTTTCCCAATAAATTCAATTTCCAACAACATTTAACACAATAACACATTAAACATAACCTAAATTTTAGACCAAAAGGGCAAAAAAATCAATTAAAAAATTAAAAGAAATACCTGAAAAGATAAACAATAAAAAAGATAAAACTATTGAAGAAGACGTGGTATCTCTCTGCTTCGCGGGAATCGGCGGCGTCCGGCGGGCGTTGCAGCTACGGTCAAGATCGAGGCGGGCTACGATCGACTGGGGCGCAACTATTGACTACGGAAAATAAATTAATTTGACTTGTACAATATTTTCTATGCTCTTTCTAATATTTTGGTCTCCCACTCTGGGTTCACGAAAATCTAAAGAATTTTCATAAAGAAATAATCTGTCCCTTGGACTCGGCTATCCGGGGCTTGCCGCCTCTGGACCTCCAATATAAATTTGTAATATCGTTGAATGAGTATTCACTCCGCGCCTCCAAACTCATATGACAACGTCCATTCAAATTCTTATCTAATTTAAGTAAACCCAATCACACCAAATAGCCGATGACACTAAAATCAACAACATATTCCAACCTTAAAAAATTACTCTCATTAAAATCTTTCGAGTTATGAATTTTAAAGGATTTAAGGAATTGTATTTTAGGTGTTGACATATTTGTGTTATTAATGTCAAATGATAATATAAGATTAATTTTCACAGTTTGACTTTTTTTGATCAAATTGTAGCATCTCTTGACCACGAATTAAATACTCCCTCCGTCCAAGAATAAACTTCCTACTCTACCTTTTTTTTCGTCCGAAAAAAATCTTCCTACTCTACTTTTTCATACACACTCTTCCAAAATTGCCTTTCTTCTCCTTCCCCATCTCCCCTCTCTTTTCTACTCCTTCTCAATCGCCGCAACCCCCCCCCCTCTATATCTTTTCTTCTTTCCTACTTCTCTATCTCTCTCTCTTCCCCCCTCTCCTTCTTTTTCTTTTCTCAAGATTTCCTTCTTCCCCACGGCCAAATCTGGCCTTATCTTCATCTCTCTCTCCCCCCCTCTCTCTTCCCCCCTTTTTTTCTGGTTTCTTCGCTTCTTTTCTCGACCAGATCTGGCCATATGCTCTCTTCCCGCTCCACCTTCTTCTTCTTCTTCTTCTTCTCCTCCTTCTCCTTCTCCTTCTTGTAGATTTGTGTTAGATCTGTGGCTGTGGGGGCAGGACAGCGGTGGGCGGTGCGGTGGTGGTGAGGCTGAGGCAACGATGGGCCGGCGATGACGCTGGTGCAGCGGTGGGGCAGCAGTGGGTCAGGGGTAGCAGTGGGGCGGTGGGGCTGGGGTGGTGGAGGGGCGGCGACAGTGGGGGGCAAAAGGAGGGTAATTTGGACATTTTAATTTTAATGATGTATTCAACCCTCACTAAAAATGAAGAAAAGTCAAAGTAGGAAGCTTAAATATTATAAAAATTAGATCTTTAAAAACTACAAACTCAATTTTACTAAATTAACATTACAACTAAATATTTTTTTCATAATTTGCAGTCAAAGAGGGTATAGTTTCACACAAAAATATCAAACTGCAGTAATCTTTTAAGGACGGAGAAAGTATTTTAATTTTTTCTTTTTTTTTAAAATAAAACTATATTTCATACTCCGTATTGAGCAATTCATTTTCCTGCTGGTCCATCAATTTATGAATTTTACAGAGTAACAGAACTGAATGGAAGAGCTGGAAGTGATACTGAGGGAAGCATTTGGCGAATCATCTGGCAGCGAGGCCGAAGGCGAGCTGAGCGGACGAAAAAATTCAGTTTCTGGACCGGCAAGAGGATCGATCTTCTCTGGATCGAACCGGTCATGGGAGCGGATCACGGAGATCAATGGCCTCTGGATTTGCAGAGATTTCCTCACCTCCGATCAGCAATCTTCGCTGATCTCAGACATCCAAGCAGGTAATCCTTTTTTACTTTTTTGACGCTCAAGTTCGAATGAATTTATCACTTCTCACGATTTATCTCGCGATCATCGTGCTGCAGAAGGATGGTTCGCCGAGGAATCGCATAACCAGGTCTTTTTTCAGCTCTGATCCGAAGTCATTTCTGTTCCTAGTCCATTTGTTTAATCAGAATGTGCTTTTTGTTTTTGAAGAGAACATGAGGCCCCGTTTGATTTCATGAACATAAGTGGACCTCCGTGGAAAATATTTTCCTTTGAAAAATTGTTGACTTGGAAATTATGATGTTCTATGCATCATATATAGATATTGGAAACTTTGTTTGAAACAATCCAAATTTTGGTCGATATGTGCAAAATAATTCATGTTTGCATATTTCTGCAGAAAAATCCCATCTTTCAAGCTTGTAGTATACGTTTGTCCTGACCCTTATTCACCCATCCTTTTTTTCATACATCATTCATATTGACATGTCACTTGTCATGAGCTTAGTTAGAACTTTAAATTGACAAAGATGGTGGTTGGGGAGAGTTTTGTGCTAGAGAATACATGATCTATGATGCAATCGTAAGAGTTTGATGAAGTTGAAAGGTGGGATTATTCACATCCAAAAGGGGGATTATTGTGCACAAGCATTCCATACATATTTAACTCACAATATCACAAAAATGTCAAAAATAATGAATGTATTTCTTGAGAATGACTCTTTCGGTTTTTGAAAATCAAAGCCATTTTCAATTAAAGTTTATCTGACTGTGGAAAATTTGCCAAGCTCAAGAAAAGCTGCAATGTGTTTTTTAAGGAGCATTTTCTTCAAACACTGGGAGGCCTAAGTAGTTATGGACTAAAGCCTAAGCTGGGGTTTTAAAGATCTATCTGTGATCTATCATCAAAACTCAGCGTTCTAGCAGAGACCCTTAATTTGTATTGCTTAGATTGCATATGTAAACAGGGAAAAAGTTTTGTAAACTGCGTGCTTCTTGACTGTTGTTGGAGGTCCTCTCAAGTTTCGAAACCACTCAGTATACTTTTTATTGGGTTTGGTTTGGTTCATCCATCCAAAAACATCATCTTTTTTGTTATTTTAAATGTTTTATTAACAATGATTTTTTTTTGTATGTGAGAACTATTTTTTGTCTTTTGATGGAAAAAATATGAACAAAAAAGCTATAAATCTCATGCTTGTGTCTTATTTGCAGGCTATGAGGTTTGGAGACCTTCCAGAGTGGGCAGTTGAACTTTCCAACTCCATCCGTGAAGCCATTCTGTTTACAAACAGTGGGAATAGCAAGGAGGCAATAGGTCTCTTTCCCCAAGATTTATTATGGAGGGAGCCCCTGTTTGATCAGCTTATTGCAAATGTGTATCAACCAGGTGAGGTGAGATTGACTAATAAGGGCATTTGGTATGATAACACTTCACATGCAAAGTACAGGCCACTAAGATTTTACATAATACTATGATTTTCCATAGCACATTATTTAGGGCTTGTTTGGTTGGTGGATTTTGGATGGGTGGGGAAGGGATGATTCATGTCCTGGTTGTTCAGTGTTCACCTTTAACAAGCAGATGCTCCCTCCTCTGTCTCCAACAGAAAGATCATGTTCCTATAACTTTGTTTTGTCCTAAAAAGATGTCTAAATTCAACTATCATGGCTATATTTTCGTGCAATTTCTCGGAAAAGGAGTTCCGAACAATGTACACTCTGCAATATCATTATAGTTAGACCAAATAGTAAATTTGATGTGACTGCATCGATTGTTTTGAATTTGTAAAAAAACAATGCAGGGAATATGTGCACATATTGATCTAATGAAGTTTGAAGATGGAATTGCCATAGTCTCTCTGGAGTCTTCATGCGTGATGCATTTTTCCAGAGCTGAGAGTGAAGAAGTTTGTCCAGGGGATAATGAACTTCATGGCAGCAGGAGTCCTTCAACGAAAGTGCCGGTGCTCTTAACCCCGGGCTCCATGGCATTGATGTGGGGAGAAGCACGATACCTCTGGAAGCACGAGATCAACCGCAAGCAGCCACTCGCCGTGGGGTTTCAAGAATGGCAAGGCAGGGCAATCACCCAGCAAAGGAGAACCTCTGTTACATTGAGAAGGCTCTGTCTCCCGGACTAAGAGTTTGTTCTCTTCAACTTTCCTTTTTCACTTATTACTTATTCTTATTGGAATAAGATTATAACAGAATAAAATCGTTATTTCAGAACCCATATCATTGGAATTAAATCGTTATTTCAGAACCCATATCATTTCTTCTAGATTTTAAAACTCATGTCATATCATACTTCTAAAACTCACCAAACGGCCCTTATTTTAATCAAATCACGAGAATCCAATAACACAAATATGAATCTTGAAACCAGACTTCTCCTAATTGGATCAACGACCTTTAAAACAACAACATTGAGAGGGATCGCGAAGGAAAACAGGGAATGAATGGCATCTCCCATCAAACCCTATACTCTGCTCACACTTCATCTGGCACTCCTCGTCACTGCTACAAGGCGGTGTCGTCGGCGGGAAACATCTAGCAAATGGACCCGCATGGATCAACTCATCCCCATACGGAATTGGACCTTTATCATACAAAAAATGGTATTTCCATAAATATAAAAAAAACATGGTATTTCCACAAGTATATAAAAAAAACGTAAGTGTTAATTAAAGCCATAATGACAAAATAATTTAGGGCTGTTCTCATGTCATGAAACGACCCGAAGGCCCTACGGTGTTCCGTTTGAAAAGTTGACGGTTCTCATCCCCAAACTCCCGTAAATCCCCATTCTGGCCCAACTCGAATCCACCCCCACTCCCCCACCCCATTGAATTGTACCCCACAAATTTTGTTGACTTTGGAGACAAATTTTGACTTCAAAGCCAACAAAATTTGGGGATGCAATTGAAGCGGGTGGTGGTGGGTACGGGTCGGACCGGGCGGGTGCTGGAGGGTCCCCAGGACGTCACCCCATGTCACTGGTCCCAATGTAATGGGAACCAAGCCGTTAGTCTTAACATAAAGATCTACAGGGTTTGAGTGATATGGAGTATTATTTTCAAATTATTTTATTCAAATACAGAGTATTTAAAAACTATATAAAGAATCAAATGTGAGAGAGAGAGAGAGGGGGAGAATAAGAATACCAGGTGCTGGTGCTGGTGCATTGCCTGCATGAATGATCATCATAACTGAGCAGAGAGAGATCAAAAAAGCACACCCATTAAGACCAAAACCAACCATATTTTTTATTCTCTCGATTCTTTTTTTTAAATTTCTTTTTCAATTACAGTTTATGCATTTGATACATGATGATATATATAGTATACATACACACTACCTCATATATAAGAATACAATATTGCCTAAAATAACGCTCCATATATTAAATTGAATGATATTAATTCTCGATTTACTTACCTTTGACCAAATAATTATACATAAATAGTTTTGCTCAGTTTAAATATGTTTTTAATAATTAATACTACTCCTTGTAAATTGAATGGCATATTAGGCAACTTTTTTTTTATTTGAGGAAAACAAAAGTGTTAATCATCCATTTCATGCCAGAAACCGTCTACCCTATTCTTGGCTCTTCACACAAATTCTTATTTACTTTTATTTTTTAATTAAAATATAAATACTTATCCCAATAATATGAAATGTATGCTTATTTGTTATATATATAGCCGATGTTTGGAAACGGTGTTTTTATTAGCATTAACATTTTGGATAAAATTTTAATGGTGTAGATGAACTCTGAAAACGCTAACGGCTACAGTCGGATAGCTTTTTCAAAACGCTAACGCTAATCTGTATCGTTCTTATCGAACGGGGCCATAGAAGTCAACGGTAGACTTTAGCCCCATGGAGAGAATTTGCCATACATTTTACATTTTCAAACTTAATCTGCATTATTAAAAAATGATTAGAAACACTAACATATACGGAGTATTAAAAACAATATTTCCAAACAATGTCAAAACTAAGAAATGTTTTTAGCAAATTGTATCACATCAACAAAACCCCTCTCTGCATTTCGGTGTTTCACTTGTTTTGATAGAGTAAAACTAATGGCCACATTTCTCAAACAAACAAAACAAAAACAATAATTAAAATTCCAACTCGAGGGGCATATAAAATTTTAGACCAAAATTTGGTGCAATGAAATTGCAAGGGGTGCGAGGGTGCGTTGGGGACGGGGCAAGCTAGGGGGGTTATGAGGGGTTGAAACAATCAATTTTACGATCGGAGCACCGTAGATATTCCAATTGAATTGGTGTAACGGTGTTACACTAATTGGGTTGGTGTAACATTACCCCTCATCTATATTATATTATAATTAATAAATATTTCTTAATTTTTATTGATGACAAATTTTTTTTAGGGACTGTATTTTTAAGTAATTGGAAGATTTGTTAAAATTAATACGGAATAAATATATATCTTATATTGCGTGACTAATGAAAGAACAAGTTTAGGTATAAGTATTTTCACTGCCACTGCCTTGAAATCCTTGAATCGAATGTCCGAATTGCTTCTCATAATCTTCCTATCTTGGCACAGGGAAGATCAAAAAACTCGATTGAATCCCACACAAAAGTAAAGTCTGGCAGAGTGAGTGGACCGAGACCAATAACAACCTTGAAATCGTAAATCATAAAAAGTGTTCTCTCCGTCCTAAAATGTTCGCCCCGTTTCTAATTTACGAGGTTTGACCGACTTTATTTTCAATTCAACTTATTTGATTGTATGTATAAAATTAAAAAATAAAATTTATATATTTAAAAACTACATCAAAAGTTTTACAAAATAAGATGGTCAAGACTATATTATTTTATCAAATAAGTGACGAAAATAGGTAAAGAAAAATGATTAAAGCTTGACCGTGTGAATGGTAATTGCGAAAAACGCCAAACAATAGAAGCCAACGAAGTAGCTATTTTTGAAGATAGACCTAAGCCTTTTTCTATGTCACGACCCAAAATATTATCTTGAATTTAATAATAAATTTCTATTAAGTACGGAGTAGTAGTTTCAATTCTCGTCTAATTAAATAAAAAATAAAACGATAGCAAATAACTAAACAAATAGGGAGTACTCCGTAACTAAAAGGAAGCCTGTGTCCAATACTCCGTATTTAAATTTACAAATACTCCGTATCTTTTAAACATGGGTTTTGGCAACGGGTGCACCAGTGCTAGACCGCACGATTTATCTTTTTGAAAGCAGAGGGGCCCTTTAAATACCCTCCGATCTCTTAAATTTCAGAATTTTCCCATTTGATCAACTCAAGCAAGCCCCGATTTGCTGAGATTCGATTTCGAGGTGAGTTTTCGGCTTTGATTCGGATTCCGGTCAGATCTCTTTCGTGCGTTTTTGCTTTCAGACATGCGATCATTGATATGAATTTGTTCATCTGTAGAATTGTATTTGGTTATCATTTCGCATCGCCTCTAGATTTAAGGTTTTTAGTTCTTAACCAATATTAGCTTTTTCCTGCAATTAGCTGCGTGCTTGTTATGCTGATGAATCTGACTCGACATCGATTAGGGATATCTATATAATTCGATAATGCGAATAAAAAATACGGAGTAGCTATATTTAATAGTAGTTTGATCATTCGGTTTGATGTGATTGATTGCACTTGAGCATTTTTTCCCAATATTTAGCTTCCGGCTTTCCCGACCCCTCGCTTTTTCAACCCGACATGAATATGCGACTCCATGATTTTCCTTTGAGCGAATTGTTATTCTAAAAAAAAACTGTGATTGCCCTCTAATAGGAACCCAGTGCATGGTTATGTGAGTGGATTTTAGGCTATGGTGTTATTTGACCAGTATGAAGTATCTTTGAGCTTTGACTGTGTTGAATAAGTTTGGTTGGATGTATATATTGAACCACTATGTTCTTTCAAACCAATGATTATCCTACAAAACTGTGAATAATGAGATCAAGTGCTCAATAAACCTTGAAGACATGGTTAAGATTTTGATTATACTGCAAGTTGTTTCTTGTTTATGATATGTGATGTGAGGTATAGTTGTTTGTTATTCAATGGCATGTGCTATTTTTTATTCGCAATTTGATGACATTGTGTGATAGTTTCTTTTTGTGTGTTGTGTTCTTTCATTTTGTTTTGAGTATTAGGTTTAGAGCATTAAAATATCTGTCTCCTGCTATAGTGGTATTAGATTTGGATTGCTTAGGCTTCTGTTGTAGAGGATTATTGGACGGTAGGGTAAAGTTTGCTTGTAGATCTTTCATCTCTATAATTCTTTCTATCTAGGGTTTTGAGAATTTGAGCAGTTCTCGGATATGGCATTCTCTGTGGGCAAAACAGCTTTGTATCCGTTCGGACGTGACACTCAGGTTTGCCATGTATCTGTAGATTTTTATCCATTCATCGGAACTAATGAGTTGCTTGATGATTTGATTCTATTACTATTTCGGTGTCTTACTGCAAACATTGTGATGCAGATGAATGCAGGTTCATCATCATTTAGACGTGGATTACATATTGAACTCGGTGCTCGCGAGAAAGCTGTGAGTACCACACTCTACTCACATATTTATTTTCCCTCATCTTTGCATCTACAATAAATTCTGCATCAGTAGTGAGATGTTTATGAAAAATTGTTTATGCTTGATGCTTTTTGCCTTTAGCTTGATCTATGCTTCTTTCTCCGTGCTTTGTACTTTCTATGCTACTCGTGTTGTGGGTCTATTGGAAATGTCTCTAAATGTTTATGAAAAGTACGCAGTGTTAATTTTTCAGATGGAGTGCAATCATATATAAAATCCTCTATTTTTTTCATATAAAAACCATACTGTGTCTGATCCCTTTTTTTAACTCTGAAAATTAGCTGGGATAGCTGACCTCTTAGTTTCTTTGTCAATTTGGAGTAATCTTTCTTTTAGGGTCCGTTTGGTATACGGAATTGATGGAATTGGAATTGAATTTGAATAGAAATTCCATGAGATTCAATTCCATAGAATTGAATTCACCAATTCCAATGCATTTTTTGCACTATCAATTCCAAATCCACATAATTTTTGTACTACCAAACACCAGAATTGGAATTGAAGCCCTCAATTCCAATTCCATACTTTGAATTCCGTGTACCAAATGGGGTCTTAGTATTTTTCTCACAAATAACTACCCAATCCCCATTCTTGTATTTAGTAAATGCATTTTTATCGCAAATAACCATCCATTCAATGTCTAACTTCGTCTGCCATATGTATTTTACTTTTGCTCGTTACTTTTAACCCTCGCTTTCTGGAAAAAATGTTCTCAAAAAATGGTTGCTTTATTGTTTGAGTGGACACCCGAACCAACACTTAAATTTAATACAGATTTTTTGTCATTTTTTGAAAAAATTAATCACCACCTATAAAACAGATGGTGTATTTATAAAATAGCATTGGTAGTGCCATAATGTATAGAGATCGTGGTGGTTGGGGTTCAATTAGTAGGGTGAGTTTAGATTGAGTGGGTGGGTAGCATGATTGTTAAGTTGTCGCCTAGTTGTCCTAGGTGATGATTAATCGTTTAATTGAAATTCTACCCAATTTGACCCAACCCGGTCCAACTTAAATTTCATTAAATTTCAAAAAAATAAAAAGCTTTGCTCAATCGATCAGCACATTGCAAAAGTCGCTTACCCTTCCCGATGTCTCTCTCTCTCATCGGCAAAGCCCATCGTCATGTTGGAATATTTCAATATGTTCTTTCTGTGCTTGTTGTCTTTGTCGGTGTGACGCTTATGAAGATTGAATGGTATTTGTTTCAAATGTACGCTTCATTATGTGATTTTATGTGCTACCTTCAAACATAATTTTGTTTTGGTAATGATATTTCAACATAAATATATATAATTATCTTTGGTGAATGAAAATTTCAATACTAATTGTGATTTGTCGCCTAGCCTACTAGTCTACGACTAGTAGGGCCGACTAGTCTCTTCTTCACCGACTCAACTCGACTTGTCGCCCTGATAAGTTTGCTTAAAAATTTCAATACTAATTGTGGTGTATTGCTATGTTATGGCAGAACTCCTGCATAAGGTTTTTAAGAGCGGTGGCATAATGATGCTAAATGATGTAATTTTCTACTTGAGTGTTTCCATCTCTAGGCAAACACCAAAAAAAGAACATTTGAATACAGTATGCACTTGATGAAAAGCATCATCTCATGCACACACATAAACCAAACAAGTTCTTATCAATGCATAATTCAGTTCTAAAGATTCATCTCAACACTGTTAATTTTCCATCTGGATTTATGTATTCATAAGCCAAAGTAGATATTATTAGATTGTGGGACGTTTTGGATTTGATTTGTCACATCTCATCTGCTTGGGATTGGGAATTTCAGTGTCATGACCATGTTTGGCAATGGGGCGTTCAAAGTTAGCTGTTTATATATATGTTTTTTTAAATTCAACTTTTTTCATTAGCTAATTACAGAAAGATGCTTGATATTCAGAATCAGCTTATCGTTGTTTGATGTATAAAACAAGCTTTTCCAAAAAGCTACTCCAACTGTCCCCCCTCAACTCATCTCAACCAGAGTGTTACCATTTGCAGCTTCTAGCAGATGACCCTTCACTGAGGCGCTTTAAATCAAATTCAAAGAGCGTGCGGGCCCTCAGGAGGGTAGGAGACGCACTCACACTCGTGGTTGCAGCAGGTACAACTTTTTTTATTTTTATGATCATCTTGGAGACGAATTGAGTAAGCCGATCAAGAATTCTTTTTTTTTTTTCCGAATTGTTAATCCGTTCTTTCTTCCAGGATGCTGCTATGAAATTTACGTGAAAGCCTTTGCGAGGGAAGAAACTCGAAAGGCAAGTGGAAGTGCATAGTGTGTGAGATTCCTTTTCACATATAAAATCTGGTGCAGTCCCTCCATTCTTTGTTTGGAATATATGGGAAGGAAATAAAACTGGAGAGGGTTAGTGTTTGAAAATTTGTTGGATTCTCTTGTTTTTAGTAAGGCTGTGTTTAGTTGCCCCTCTTTGAACCAGATGTAATTGTGATTTCCATACTGCTGCGTTTTGACCATAGGAAAACTGCTTATGGGTAATTCCTTTTGGAAAACTGCTTATGAGTAATTTCAGCTTCATTTTTATGAAAAATACAGTACGAATTTCGATCCCTACTTTATGCAAAAAAAAGAAAGGGGGTGGGTGTGGGGGTGGGGTGAGGTGCCACATCTGTGAAAAGTTAGTTTCTCTCTTTTGTGATTTTTTAAATGCTAAAACTGGTAATTTTATCTATGCGGAAAAACAAATACATAATCACTTACGTAGGAGCAGAGATGGTAATTTAATTAAATTTTTTGTGTGATTCAAAACAAAATTAACACTCCAATTATGAATTTATTATTCGTGTTGTTTGAGTATTAATTTTTATAAATGAATCGGTATATGAAATGAATTTTAAATCAGATTTGTATTTGTGTTTGTATTTGATTCATATGTAAATAATTAATGAATTCTAAATGAGTACTCCTTTCTTTTTAGAATTAATTTTTTATTTGAATTTTCACGGTCTTCAATGTACTTCTTGACAGTGAATATTTTTTATTTATACATAAATATATATTATAAAAATAAAATATTTCAAAATTATATTTTAAAATGAATCTATTGATATTAAATTTATATAAAAATTTAATGTATCTTTTTTGTAATGTGCAGTCAAAGTTCAAAAAGTTTGATCATTAAAGTCAAATTAGAATGTTAAATTTAGGGCGGAGGGAGTATTCATTTGGTACAGATACAGAGTAATTTAAATTCAGAATATTCATCCCAAGTGCTTCCAAAGGTTCTTATTAAAAAGCATTGAGTGTCTTCAAGAATATTTATTTTAAGATTTCTAGAGTAGTTTTGAAATATAAAATTTTAAAATCAGGCTTATTTTAAGATTTTCGGAGTAGTTTTGAAATATAAATTTTTTTGAAAATATTTTTCTTTAAAATTAAGTATAATTTGTGACCAAAATACATAGTAACAATTTGATTGAAATTAAATTACATGCTATACTATTTATATGATCAAATATTATTCATTTTCTTTATTTATTTTTATTAGTCATTTGATATAATAATATAATCATGTCATTGCTAGTTTTGTAGATCTTTTGATCTAATTTGAAATATGATTTGAAAATAATTTTAGTCAAATATCGTGCACCCAAACAAACGATTTAAATTAGAGAGGAGGGAGTACAAAATTACGAATTAAAAAAAGGTTAGTTGGTTAATAGCACAAAATGCCTCTTTTTAGCCGCACGATTAATCTGGTTGAAAGCACAGGATATCCAATCTGGACCGTCCATTTCTATCAGTTGCCGCATCTTTGGCCCTTTAAATACCCTCCGATCTCTACAATATCAGAATTTTCGCATTTGATCAACTTAAGCAATCCGCGATTTTGCTGAGATTCGGTTTCGAGGTGAGTTTCACGAACCCTAATCCGCTTTGCTTACGGCTTTGATTCGGATTCCGATTAGATCTCTTTCGTGCGTTTTTGTTTTCAGTCATGCGTATATTGATATGAATTGCGACTATTGATATGAATTTGTTCGTGTATGATTGTATTTGATTATCGCTTCGCGTCGCCTCTCGATTTAACGTTTTTAGTTCTTAACCAATATTAGCTTTTTTCTGCAATTAGCTGCGTGTTATGCTGATGAATCTGACTCGACATCGATTAGGGATATCTCTGTTTCATATTATTCTATGATGTAGAGTTGTGATGTAGTGATTTTTAGGATTAAACAGTGTATGAGAAGCTTTATTTATTTGAGTAACTATTTTTGAATTTTTTATCTGGTTGTTGATTTTTTTTCGTGGATTGGATGTTTAGATGGCTCGTACAAAACAGACTGCTCGTAAGTCGACAGGAGGAAAGGCTCCTAGGAAGCAACTTGCAACCAAGGTCTCTGTGTTTTGAAGTGTTTTGTTCAGTTTGAATGTGAATTTGAATATTTTCGAGAAATTTACTACTCCTAGGGAGTATTATTAGTGTTCAGAATTTTGAGGTTTTATATCCTCCGTTTGCGTTTGCAGGCTGCCAGGAAGTCTGCACCAACTACTGGTGGGGTGAAGAAACCCCACAGATACCGTCCTGGTACTGTTGCTCTTCGGTGAGTACAATTTGCAGATAATATATCTCATTATTCTGTGGTCGGTGTGCCGTGGTTTTTCATTGCTCTACTTAAGATGTGCAAATATTGTCAACTCTTAGGGAAATCCGCAAGTACCAGAAGAGTACTGAACTCCTGATCCGGAAGCTCCCCTTCCAAAGGCTTGTCAGGGAGATTGCTCAAGATTTCAAGGTTATAAAAATCCTCAATAAGTGCTCTTTTAGTAAATGGAAATTTGTTTAGGATGCTTTCAGTTTGATTATCTCTGTAGTTTAAACCAAACCTTGTATCATGAAATCCGACCCCCCCCC